ATATTAATCTTATAGGTCCTTCTATGATAGCTAATGTATGTGTGTGTGTGTGTGTGTGTGTGTGTGTGTGTGTGTGTGTGTGTGTGTGTGTGTGTGTGTGTGTGTGTGTGTGTGTGTGTGTGTGTGTGTGTGTGTGTGTGTGCATCTATATATACAGACTGAATCCAGTCTAAACAGCTCTCATTTCTCACAGATCCAATTCAGTACACCCACCCTTCCCATCTAAACTGAGGTTCGAAGCTCCCACAGTGCCCACTGGGTATGGTGTCTTCTGTGGGAATCATGTTACATGGAGCCTTATATAATCTATAAAGTGTCCAAACATTGCATTGTCAATTGGTAGGAAGAGTCACAGGGAGAAAGTTCTGTTTAATTCTTTTTTTCTTACAGAATATTTCAATCATTACTGTAAATGATCTTTACTTTGAAACAACTGCTACCAATTACATTACATATCACATGTAAAATCAATTACAAAATTTAGAACATGACTTTACAAATGTTCATCATCACCAATAACTTAAAATATATAAAAAACTTTTGACCTTTAAAAATATTCTGACTAGGAATACAAATTACAGAATCAATACAAAATTACCCTTTTATATTTTAGGTTTCAAATATGAGGTAGGTCACAGATACCCTAAAAAATAATGATGGATAAAATGGCAACAGCAACAGCTAAAACATATAGTTATTGCAATAACAATTATAATGTTGACAGCATATACATGTAATTCAAACCACTCTATACTCCTTACTCTCTTCCTCCTTCCCTTCCTTCACCACATCCCTCCTTCCCTCCATCCCTCATCTTCTTCTTTCCCTCCATTCCTTACCTCCTTACTTTCTTCCCTCCTTACCTCTCTCTCCCTCTCCCTCACCCTCTTCCCTCCCTCACCCCGCCATCTTCCTTCACTCATCTTCTTCCCTCCTTTCCTTTACCTCCCCAACTTCATCTATCTACTAATCTATCTATCTATCTATCTATCTATCTATCTATCTATCTATCTATCTATCTATCTATCTATCTATCTATCTATCTATCTATCTCTATCTCTATATCTCTCACAATAAATAGAAAATACTCAATTCTCAGAACACTCTAACACTGTGAGTCCACTGCCATTCATTTTTAGCATTGGCCACTGTGCCTGCTATTATAAACTTAATATCATTTGGATGGAGCAAGACACTCAAGTGACGGTCTCCTGAGAGGTACAAGTTTTCAGCAGTCACTTCAACTTCAATTTTGTGCAAAGAAGAGCAGAGATTTACAGAAATAAGTACAAATCCAGAATTATAGTTGTGTATCACAGTGAACAAACATGGATTGTCGCTTGGGAACACTATGCCTATTCTGGGGGTTATGCCAAATATAGGACTAGTTAGAAATTCAATAATCTGAATGTCTGCAGAGTCCTTCATGTCCTTCTTCAGAAAGGAAAATTCTGGGATGAAATTACCAAAAAGCAAGGAACTCAGGAGGCTGACTTCACTTCCACGAGAATTAGAATGATTGCAAATGCACATTTTCAACTCAACATTTTTGTCCTGGCACTTGCTGAATATGCCATAGAGAGTCATTCTTTCATACGCCACAAGGCGCAGTGCTGGTTCGCCAGGTCCAGCCTCAATTGTTAAGAAAAAGATCTCCTGATCAGTCTCCTTTCCATCTCCTAGCCCCTGAACTATAACATCAAGCTTATATCGAACTAAATCAGCTCTGACCCTAGATTCTAATACTTTCCTCAGTCGAACAGGTTTGAGAGGCCTGCAGTTCCCAAACCCAGTACCTCCTCCTTCTTTGTGTTGGGAGAGTATAAGATTGTTTAACACCCCAAGCCCAAAGTCAGCAAGAGCCAAGTGCAGGTGTGAGGGCTCTACTGATACTTCAAAATTCCTACAAATGCACAGATTGGGTTGCAAAAGGGGAACATCTAAGCAGTTCTTTGTAATGGAAATGCTGCTGAGCAAACCCATAGGAGTAACATATTTGTCAACAAATTTTTTGTCTGGAACTGTACTTTTCTCATTAATTAGTCCCAGGAGCATGTAATGGATATCAATAGCACTAATCAGCCGTCTCTGATTATCTCTTAGAATTCTCATTTGGACATCTCCCAAATGATCTTGTACATCTTGAGGAATTATCATGAACAATGCCGGATTAAAGGTCTCCACGTGTGCCTCTGGGCTGGACTTGATGAAGTTTCCATAAGTATTTCCATGATCAGCAAATAAAATTGTTATTGTGTTTTTCATTTTAGAGGCAAATTTCAAATAGTTGACAAGAGGTTCATCAATGGTCTGGACACGTATCCCAGAAGCATCATGTGACACACTAGACGAAGTGAAGGTTAGAAAAGATTGTCCAGCTTTCAGAGCAGCTCTTTGGTACAGTTCTAAATACTCCAAAATATATTCATGATGATGTCTGCTATTGTAGCATACTGCTGGCAATCCATGAAATGGATCCTTCTTTCCATTGGCTTGCAGG